TTAAATCAGAAAAAAAAGACAAAAAAAGTTTAAGAAATGGTGGACATAGAAAACCACCCATTCCAAAGTTCCTGTCACAGATATCGGCGAAAAGCACTATGACCGGAAAGCTGACGATTGTTCAAATTTTGCATTGCCAAAAAATATCTAAAAAAAAAGGAACAGGTATGATTTTACGCAAACGTGCATGGAAGTGTTAGCACAATGGAAAGGCAGTTCGCACCAAACACTACCGGCTTGTAAATGATGCATGCACAGTGCTAATCACACTTGTCTATAACGCGCGAGCGTGCGGATTCTCCGGGGAGCGCTAGACTGGTGGCATTCGCGGAAACTAACCTAGTCACGTGGCGCAACATGAAATGGCCCGCTCGAGGGGTGTCCTGCCCACTCTATCAGCTGGCGGCGAACGCGGAAGGATGCTCGCACGCTTTTTGCAAGTACCATAGCCCGAACAATAAACAAACTGAAGCATGAAGGCATATCAACAATGTCGTCATAAAAAAAAAGCAGATTATAAAGCACTTTACTTTTATCGCTTATCAAGCGATAGAGTGGGCAGGAAACCTCTCGGGCGGGCCGTTCCACGTTGCGCAACGTGACTAGCTTAGCTTCCGCGAATGCCAGCAGTCTAGCGCTCCCCGGAGAAATCTGCACGCTCGCGCGTTATACACAAGTCTGATTAGCACTGTACTTGCCAATCCCCATAGCTTTTAAAATATATATTCTCACAATAAAATACTGAGATTCTGGCGTTGAGCACTAACGTTCGGAAAAGCCGATCCAGGCTGGATATGTAAGCACGCTTGCTGCGTCGACCTAGCATGTTCACCCCTGCAGCAATCAGGAGTACCCGAGATATTTTTATCCAGTACACAGAGTATCATGATTGTTAACAAATTTACTCGGTAAGAAAAACAAAAATCTACGAAATCTTTTTGAAAACGCACGTAAGGCACACAACCAAACTAGCGAAACGAGGACGCTTAATAAATGTTGCGAAGATAATCCGGAGTTACCACGAAAAACTCTAGCAGAATTACAGCAAACCGAAGCTTTCACGACAAAGATCCCAGGTCCAAGGCACCCCCAAAATCTCGCGAACAACAGAGAAGCGACGAACAACACGTTAGGTTTACAAATGGTTCAAGATAACGTAATGAACAGGCATATTCATGCACGGGAAGATCTATGAACAAGGACAACATAAAACATAAAAGAAATGAGGAAGGTTCTCCGGAAACCAATAAAAAAAAGGGGGAGTCAACGACTGGAACAAAGCGACAAGGCATGAAAAGACTCACCTGTCGAACCAAATCCCGCTTCGTGGGCCCGGCCTGCTTGCCACCGCCCACCATCAAATCGGGCTGCAAATTGGTCAGCGCCGGCCTCTTGGTCAAAGCCTGGGTCTGCATCTTGCTGTCGGGGTTCTCGGACCTCTTGGAAGGGGCAGCCCCGAAGGCTCTGGAGTTTTCGTCGCCGGCGTCGACAACTGACGCAACGTGAGCTTGACGCCTCGCCATGTTTAAAAAAAAACGGTCGGCTCGCTTCTTGCGCTCACGGGCAGAAAGAAAGACGGGTCAGTTTGAAAATCTCGCGTCTCTCGGTGTGGGTCCGACTCACGGCTGCATGGGGGCTTCTTTCGGTGACATTCGTGGCTGACCAGAGCCGGTGTGCGGTCTTCGTATTGATGTCCGAATGTGGATTTGTTTCCCACGCCCGAGCCAACCGCGCTGTCAGAACCCAACTGACAGAAATGCAGCGATGCAGCTGAGTCAAAAAGCGCTAAATTCACCGCAACGGGTTGGTTCCGCACAAACGGACCAATGAAATGTGCCGGTTCGGGTCACGTGAGGCCACGTGTCAAGCCCATACGTCGCTTATTTTTATGTTTTTTGATCGCGCAAGTTCGCGCGACCGCGCGCGCCTTCGCGATCACGGCGCCACCAGCGCCACTTCGAACCTTTATTTGGAAACACAAAATCTGGTCCAAAAATAACAGATATTTGTGTGCGCTGTGCTGCAAGATTTAAAAATTAATCTTTTTTTTTTTTCGAATTATTAATCGCTGTTTCTCTGCGGCGTCCCAATGAGCTTCAAGCAAGTCATAAATAACGATTTAATGTCTAGTTTATTATGAATAAAGCTATACGCACTCTGGAGTGCATTTCGGTCGAAGTGGCTATACCCACTCCGCTAAACTCGTATAAAACGAAGGGCCACAACGTTTTTTCTAAGCGATGGCGTAGCATAGAGGTGAAGGAGACCGCTTTGTACGCAAGCGGACGCGGGTTCGATCAACAATCTGCCTATTTTTCTTTCTCAAAACATTTTGTTCTGTCGAGGCATTCACGATATTTACATTTCTTATTTGCGATGATGTTGTCGACGAAACTTCGCAGAACTAAATGGTATGGGTCTCCCTTTTCGGAGGTGCGATCGGGGACAGCGGGGCTTGGGTTGCCGGCTGGACTCCGCGAAGCGGCGTGTACTGGTGAAGTTTTGTAATTAGCAGCCGATACTGTCGCCGCGAAGCGGCGTGAACGCAGGCGGAGGGCTGTGTTAACGAGCCCCCAGCGATACACGCGCCGTTCGAAAAGGGTGGCCCGAGCGGCATAAGCTCTGCGCGGTGTGCGTATACCCATTTCGTCCAAAATGCACTCCGGAGTGCGTATAGCTTTACTCGTTTATTATTGCCGAAAAATACCTCTTAAGAATAGGAGTACGGAACTCGTACAAGTTCACAAAATGTGTAGCTATTTGTTTGACGCCCTTATCGAATATATTATTGATCCCTAAATATGGGCACATGCTTTCATTGCCCGTCGTCCGCGACGCAAAATCAAACTAGGAAAATCTGCGCAGCGTCGGGTTCTCAACGTTGACAATTGTTGGGCAAAACAACACTACACAACAAAGCAACAACACACGACTTTCAGATTCACCATCGCCAAATCACTTTTTCATAAAGAACTTCCAGTACACGATGCCACCGAAGATGATCATTTCCATGATGATGATCAAGATCAAAATGAGTTTGTTGGTGATCACGCGCCTGTACATGGTGCGCTGTATCTTGCGACTCGTCGTCAATTTCTGATCGGTCTCTTCGAGTCGCTCTTTGGTCCGGACCAGAGACTCGCGCTGCGTGCGCAGCTCTTCGGCCACGGCAACCCCGACTTGATCGGTCTCGGCAGCGACTTGAAACGTTCGCGCGAGGGTATCGGTGGTATTGCCCAAGGTTTCGTTCATCTGAAGCAGCCGACTGCGCTGAGGATCGTTCCCAAAGTCACCGATGACGGTTGAAGGGCTCAGGAGTTCCTGCCTCGCGCCGCTGGCGTTGATGCTGGTCGCCAGTGTGACAAACGCCTTGTTGACGTCCTCGAGTTCAGCCCGCTACTTGGGGGTCTCGGCGTTCATCTGGATACGGTACGGGTTGGGCGCCGAGTGGGCTTCGTCCTGGAGTTCTTGGAGAACGTCGTTGGCCTGGTGCAGTTTACGCTGTACTTCGCGTAGATGGGTTTTCTTGCTTTCGCCGCTTTGAAGGCGATTGCGGGTCCCGTCCAACTTGCGCTTGATGTCGTCGAGGAGGGCCCTGAGGTCCTCTTCGAGGTCTTCGAACTTCTCGGACGACATGCCGTGATGCATCGCTGAGAAGTCCAGCGGAAAGCCGGTGGCGTTTACGGACGTGAAGAATGGCGAAAAACGGTTCCAAGACACAAACATGACACGAAACACACCCCGCCTTAAAAGATCGCAGAAACCAGCGACAAGAGCAGTGATATGGACGCGCTCGAGTACACAAGTCCTTCCGTCTCATTTTAACAGAGACGTCATTTAGTATCGAATGTTACGGGTTGCGCTGGTTAATTTATTTCTAATATAAAGGATATAAACCGCCCGAAAGAAGAAAACATTGCAATGATAAGCTGATGAGAACAATAATTTTCTGTTTTATACCGTTAAGGCATTATTACTACTTTTATCATTTTCAGCCATGCCGAGCGTTCTGGCATTTGTTTAATCTTGAAGGAAGTAAAAGAACGCACCAACGTTACTAAAACACTCAGTTGGGAAACTAGCCGTCAAAACCTGGGCCGCTGGCGTCCACCGAGACCGAGCTAAATGCGACAACAGCGCCACTCTTTATCATTTGTCTGTACTGTGGTCACCTTGAGCTTTCTGAAAGCCTGTTTTTGAGTAAAAACAAACGAAAAAGACTCTTTTTGTATAAAATTTATTGGAGTTTAGTACCAAAAGAGGGGCGCGTTATGTTTTTAAAATCAGGGTTTTGCAGGGTTTTGCGGCACAATTAATATTGTTTTTATACAACCATGCCTCAGCGGGCCTTTCAGGTAGCACGTCCCGCCCTAGGTGCATTTTAACTTCGGTAGGTCGACGCGGCGCGTCCGCCGGGGAGACGGGGATGGCACCCCTGTAACCTCTACCGCTATATCTGTTCTTAACGCCAAAATAGAAGTCACGTGCAGTTCCTCGAGTGGCCGCTGCGGGAGAAATGGTGTCGTTGTGTTCGTCATTAGCTCGGTGCTCGGAGACAGTTTGGGGCCACTTTTTGACAGCTGTCTCTATGGGAGTTTCCCAACTGAGTGTTTTAGTAACGTTGGAACGCACTCAAACAAATCACGTGACAGAAACATTTATATATGTACAAAACAATCTTATTTTTAATTAGACGGCTTCTCGCGCCATCTGCCAATATTATTATTATATTTAAACATGTTTTTAGTGCCGTCACCTGTGAGAGAAGCAAGAAGCTATCATAGAGGAACAGGGGAGAGCGAAACAGAGACTGGCAGAGATCCTCACAACAGCTGAACGAACCCTAAGCGTTTTTTGTTATGGCTCGTGCAGTGCCATGACTCGCTTGAAGTCGCATTAGGGCGTACCACGGTTACTTCTCGTGCACAGACGGAAACAGGAGAGCGACGAGTGCGTGCCCGTGACCCTGAAGCCGGATGGCGGCGTCGCCATAGTCAAACATGGCAGAACTCGACGCGATCTACGAAGAGGACGACGAAGACCTGAGGGCCAACAAAGATTCGCTGGTGAGCCTTGTACCCGAACCGATGGTCATACGAGGCGCCGGAAACATGACAGTGTGAGTACCGGTCTATCTCCTCCGGACGAGCTAGCGCATACTCCATGTGCCTCAACGTCACGCGCTGCAAGAGCACTTCTATGGTCCTTTTTAAACCATGCTTCGGTGTTTGCTTACGAAAGAAGGAAAAGACCTCCGCGGTATGACCGACAGCGTCTCTGAACGTCAGGTCGCTTTGAAAATAAATAGCGACACAAACCACGTTGGGTTTTTATCCCCTCCAAACGCCCAGAGGCAGGCGGCGAGTGCTGCCAGCGACGCGCTTTTTGTTTGTTTGTGCATTTTTCGTGGTAGTTACGGCAAACAAAGGGAACGATATCGCCCAGTGTGTTTGGTTGGCGTGCCGCAAATTTTTCTAGATAGTAACGGCGTGCGTGTATGGGGAAATGGAGGGGAGGTCTTTTTCCAGCATCGATTCAGCCTCACCCACGTGTTTCTTGTGGTGTCGCGCCGTTCCTCTTCACGTCTCGCACACGTCACGACCATTAAACAGCTCGTCGATCCGGAATTTTATTTTCATTATCGATCGGCTGATCTACGAAGTCCGATCCTGAAAGGTAAACCCGACTTTTTAGCTCTCATAAGTAAAGTACGCTTCGCGGAAGGCTGAAACTCCGTGAGATTCTGACGCTTGCGGTAAAGATAAAATGCGAAAGTTTGAGCGCATAATGTTGCCATACTACAGAAAAAAAAAATTCTATGGGTCGACGTTTACCTGAGCCAAACTTTCACCAAATTAAAATTTGAGACTGTCAGTGCTTGCAGCAATATGTCAGTGAAGAAACTTGTCAGCATGAAAGAAGACAGAATTGTCTTTCTAAGTGGCCAGGGGGGCTATGTTCGACAAATGTTTCGTTTCTACTAAAAAAAAACAGAAGTGGCTGAACTGGCATCATGGCGTCTGATTGGTTAGAGGCTCAAATGACGAAAGAGGGAACTTTAGTCATTTGAGCTTCTAACCAATCAGACGCCATGTTGTCAGCTCCGTCACTTCCGTTTCTTTTTAGGAGAAACGAAATATTTGTCGCACATAGCCCCCCAGTTTCTTTCACTGAAATAAAGGCTACAGGCACCCACAATCTCAAATTACTCCTCGATGAATATTAGGCTCAAGTAGATATCGGCTCATTGAGAAGTCTTTTTTTTTTGGTGTGTCTTTTGATCCAGATAACTTCATGCGCTCACACTTTCACATTTTATCTCCAACGCTAGCATCGGATTCTCACTACGGTTCAGCTTTCCGTGATGCATAGTTTATTTGTAAAAGCCGTCTTTGCTTTTCTCGATTCGACCGTGATTTCCCCCTTTACCGTTCACTTCTCCATACTGGCAAAAAATCTCCTGCCTGCGAGTGTGCGTGCGATTTGTATTTGCATGACAGTGTTGTCCTCACCTAGCTTATTGTATCGCAACATATGAACACAGTTGTTGCAGTCTGACAAGATGAGAATGATGGCTTCCTACTTTTGATACCGCTTCGGCGTCTTGAAAGCCTGCAGTGCGCATCCCCAGCACTGTGCATGCTGGAGCACGGGCATTTGAAACAGACGCCCTGTGGTTCTTGTCCCCATAGTTTGAACTGTTGCCTTTGTGTGGCTCTCATGAGCCAATAAAGATTTTTAATATTACTTCTCTTTTAGATGCTATGCATTGGTTCATTTCCACTAAGTTCCTTTAGTCGACTGTTCCTAAGTGGTGTGACGTGGAGGCACAACCCGGAAGTGTCAGAGACATTGTCAAAAAACGAGCCCAGTCTGGGAAAATAAGCCGGAAACGCCATCGAGTGCCCTGAGCCAAGACTTGCAGACTTGGTGGAAGAAAAATTGGCATAAATTCTGCTTAGAGCAGAGCGCAGGCGCTGCTCACTCGATGTAGCTTGTGCTACCCGATGCAAAGAGAACAGCCGACAAATCCAGTCCAAGCATTGGATTGGATTGAGGGCGCGACACTAAACTAGACCCAGCTAGGGCTACTAGAGTTACTAACAAATGGGGAAAGCCGCAGACCCCAACCCAAGCTTTACTACGAAAGTATCCGAAAGTGTGCATCTGGTGGCCATGCTGCCATTCGGTTATCGACGTGTGTAGTTGAGCGTTATGTTCTCATCGTGTCTCCGAAAGTGGCCTCTTTACTGACGATGTTGGCAGCAAGAGAGTGCTCATTTAATCCGGACTAGACGAACCCGAATATTTCGGAATATGCAAGTTGGATTAAGCCCGTGCAAAATGATTCTCACAGTGCTCAGTGCTCAATGCCTTGTGTTGTAATGGCCTTATATATTTAACCGTCTCTACAGTGGTTAGGAAATTTAACCTGAAATGGTCAGGGAATTTCAAAATAATAATTTGCTAGACACCCTGATCCACAAAATAAGCTTCTTCATTGGCACTACTCCCGGAGTAACAGGATGCCGTGGTACGGGACAAAGCGAAACACACTGAGAGACCAGTTGTACCTTCTGTTTCAAAAAAAATAAAAAAAAGATACCATTGAGCTTACAACTTCCAAAGTGTCCCTATGTATGTTTTCCAGTGTTGATCGTTTCCCCGTATCGCTGTGCTTTTCAAACCCTTGATGCAAACTACGGTATCTTTTAAATGCGACGCCGTGCCTCGCTCAATTATTTTATGATTTACAATATATTTGTATACCCAAGCGTGGAGGGGTGTACACACATCATTTGACTGGTCTGTTGTCATGTTACAACAATCACATGTTCATTATCTTCAACGTGTTATGCGGTCCACGCGTGGGACCGTTCCCATTATCCAGTAGACATCTTTGAAGAGGAGGCAGTTTGTTTAGAAATGTGGCTTTCTTGTGCTTGCAGGTTTGGCCTGAGAAATAAATTCGACACGGAATTCCCGCCAACGCTATCTGCTAAGGTAAATACCCTCTTCGAAATCCGCCCCCAATCACTGACAATCCTTAACCGTGGTGGTTATCTTGAGAGACGCTCTTGTAGAGATATGCGAGTCTTAAGAAACAAAGGTTGAGATTTAAGCACAAATCTGGCTGTGATATGGTGACGCACAATGTGGGTTCACGAAATTTCGCCGGCTCAATTGTCGTAAAATTGCTTTTTCTCGCTAACATACTTTGGTCCCATTTATGGCCAGACAAACTTGATTATAGGCTGTGATACATGTTGCTGGCTTCCACAAGCTCCTGTGTGCAAACAATCATTCTGTATTGTCTGTGAATGCAACCTTGATAGAGGCTTGCACCAGTTTTTTCATAACTTTAGTTTTAATTAATAGTAACTGCCTGCTATCACTGAGAGATAATTGTTCCTGTCTAGGAAAACAATCTTTAACAAGCCCAGTGAGCCTGTTCAGTGCGTTTGGCGCTAGTCTTTTACCGGCCTCCCCGCTAACCCTATCTGAGTGGACCGTTGATCTCGATAGGTGCAGGCTGCGTAGCTGCAACTTCAGACACAGCTGGCAGCTCAACTCTCGCCTTTTCCCGCTGTTTTGTTTCGCATTTAATGCTGTATTTACTTTCCCAAAGACATTGAAGAAGCATTCTGCCGCACTTAAAACAAAAAAGGAAGCTGGTTGCTATTTTTGTTGGGTACCTACACGACTAAACAAATGTGACTGGTATGTTTGTTTTGTTTTACGACGGGTTTTGCTGGCGCCGCCTGCCCGGCAGTGTCAGTCAACAAACCTGTCGAAAATCAATAACAGAAGGTGGCCGAAAGGAACGCCTATTTGACGCGCACGAATGATGTGATACCAATCTACACGGCACGACTCTGACATCAAACTTAGCAAGCGTCAACATTCAAACAATATATTGCGCATACCACACGGTATGAAATAACGCGGCACAGCAATGTCGACGACAGTCGCACCTCTACAGTCGGCCGTAATCCAAGAGGACCTGGTTTTGGGGAGAGCTTCTTCTTTTTTTTTTCACAATACCAGCACCAAGCAGAGAGACAACTGTTCTCTCCAGACCCCAAGATAAATCTCTACGCAGATTATCTCTGGGACTTGAAAGAGCAGTTGTCCTTGTTTGCAGAATTGCGTCGTGGGCCGTTCGATGTTCTTTCCTTGCTTTGTTTCTTGTGAAAGTCGAGCAGAACCGCTGAAATGGTGTGCACTTACCAGCCTCATTTCTCACGGGGGAAGACAACAGAGAAAGGGCATGCAGCATGCTCCAGGAAAATAAAGCAGAAACTTCCAAGACAGGCATGATATCTTTCTATGCGAAACCGCAAAACAGAGGTGGGGGATCGCACTGAGCAGGTTTCAACAATCCAGGAGAGTGGCAGAAAAACTGTTAGGGCATGCGAGAGTCGCACCAGACGCTTTCATCATCAGCAGCAAGGCGGCAGCCCAGGAGCGTTTGTTTTGGAAAGGCTGTGTTTGGGTTTGCCCTGCTGCCTGCCCGACCCGGAGGAATAACACATACTCAGTTCCGGTTGCTGTCCCGACCGATATCCGCCTCCAGAAAAGTCGAGTGTCATGCTTTCGCCTGTAATGAAATCTTGGCTCACGATCACGGGTGCCACGAGTCCTGGGAGATAAAAAAATCGCTGACGCCGCTTCTTTCCATTAAACAAAGTCCGCAGCCTCACGGCTCCTGCAACTGTTATCGCTGTGTCAGAAGCTAGCTGCAAACGGGGTTTTGCATTCCTGGAGGCTTGTCTCCTATGCTTTGCAGAGAAATCACCTATAAGCGATATGACGGCCCCAGAATCCTAAAGCACGGCTATGGGAACATAAAGCAGTGAAATCGTCATGCGCGGTTACATGATGTTGGGCTCCGGCAAGATTCGACGTACGATGTTATTTGTGCCGCGGCTTAACTGCTCCCAGGGACTGTGATACCGTCAGCGAGTCGCTGGCTGGACTGAAGCACAACCAGTGCTCGTTGGTTTTTAGTATTCTTCCTCGTCCCGTCCACGTCCAATTAAATGTAGTTTCTTGTTGTTGAAACCGTTTTGCTCCGTGTTATTTCTCCGGGTCGGGCATGCAGCAAGGCAAACCGACCACTAGGTGTACACTGTATGGCAGGTTAAGAAAAGCGAGACAAGCTCTGCCTGCAAAGCCCTACATTCTTTCGATTTTAGCAGATCAAAGACTGGAGAGTAGGCAGGTGAACTGACCTCCTCTTTGGCATTCACTCTGCTAAAGTAGAAAGATTGGAGAGCTTTTTGGGCAAAGCTTGTCTTCCTTTTCTTAACCTGCAACAGAGTATATACTCAAGGACACCTTGCTGTGGCTATGCGGTCAAAATTGTCGGCCCAAGGATGCTCGAACATCAGAGCCGTGCAAAAGCGCTCTTCACTTCTGAAATGCCACAGGAAGTAGTCCACGTGTACAGAGGTTTGCATTCGTGAAGTGTGTAACGAGTTTTAGGAATGTGCATTAAAAATATGTTGGGCAGTATACGAGGCAAGCAAGTGGCTCTAACTGAGCAGGCGAAACAAGTGGGCACTATGAGCAAATGCCGTTGCCGGACCCATACTTTTCATTGACCGTAGTCGATGGGAAATGGCGCCCTCCTCGTTTACACGTAAGGCCGAAAGTTGTTTCTCGTGCGAGGTGGCGTGCTGTGGTAGCTGTAATTTAACCAGCTGCAAAATTACCGCAGGTGGCTCCAGAAGAATTCAAAGCTACCATTGTGCGCATCAACAGCGTCCTGCGCAAGACTCTACCCGTGAACGTCAAGTGGCTTTTCTGCGGCTGCCTGTGTTGTTGCTGCACCCTCGGATGCTCGCTCTGGCCCGTCGTCTGCTTGAGCAAACGGGTGAGTCGTTCGTCTTCTCGAACACTGAGCTCCCTTCCCAACGTTTATCTTTTCCCCAAGTTCTCTTTGGGAGCATCTAGCCCAAGCGCTAGGAGGAAGTACAGTGGAATCTCTATAATTTGAACCCAAAGGGGACCAAAACGTTCTTTGAATAATGCAAAGTTTGAACTACTGGGAGTTTCCTCCCTTATAACTCGTGGGACGGGACCTGCATGTTAGATTGAATTATCCACGAGTTTGAATATAGAGGCTTTGAATTAACGAGATTCCACTGTAGTAATGAACCCTTTTCAAGTAACAATCACAGTCTAGAAGGTTGCCTGTGAACTTCAAACGAAGTGCAGCCCAACATAGCATCCGCCCGTCAAAACGTGCTGGCATTGTATCGGTTTTTATTGATATTTATGCTGCATACTACCATTGCTCAAAAGAGAATCGCCGAAAAAGGCTAAATATGCGCGAAGACGGGTTCTGACCACGTTGGTCGTGCGAGACGTTGCCCTTCGAAAAGAACGACAGCGGGAAGCAAGGCAACGGGAGAGGGTGTATGTACAGGGTGGGGCAGTAAGGACCGACACATTTGGCACGCCTTGCAAAATTCGAATTCCAAACATGCATCCGTGAAATTGGACACGGAAGCATAGTTTAGCAAGAAGATTTATGTCTTGTTTTCAGAGCCCAACTCGGAGGATGTGAAATGGTAGAAATAAAGCGAAACCACTGGCCGTGTATTTCTTCTTTTTTAGAGCACAGCTCTTAGGGGCCCGTTCCCGGCTTGAGCGGCGTCGGCGTCGCCGTCGCCGTCGGCGTCGGCGTAACCAAGGTCATCCCAAGGTCACGTGACCCCCAAGGTCACGTGACCCCTCCAGGTCACGTGATCCCTCCCAAGGTCACCTCAAGGTCACGTGACCTTGGGGGTCACGTGTGGTCATCTTGGGACCACGTGACCCCTAAGGTTACGTGACCCCTCGAGGTCACGTGACCCTTCCCAAGGTCATCTCAAGGTCACGTGACCCCAAGACCCCACGTGACCCTTTGAAGGTCACGTGACCCCCAAGATCACGTGACCCCTCTGAGGTCACGTGACCCCCGAGGTCACGCGGTCTCCTCCCCAAGGTCACGTGACCCCCGAGGTCACGTGACCCCTCCCAAGGTCATCTCAAGGTCACGCGACCCCAAGGTGACCCCACGTGACCCCCAGGTCACGTGACCCCTTGAGGTCACGTGGGGGTCACCTTGGGGGTCACGTGACCTTGAGGTGACCCCCATGTGACACCCAAGGTCACGTGACCCCCAGGTCACGCCTCCCCGAGGTCACGTGACCCCCCCGGAACATATTAAAGAATGAGAGGAGGTGGAGGAGAAGGAGGAGGGGTCTACCCTCCCCTCAGTACCCTTCACTCCTCCTCCTCAAGAGCTGCGCTCCAATTCGGCGTTACGGGGATTTGTAAACGGCTTTCACTTTTTTTTTGTCCTATAAAAGCCTGTTTGTCGTCTGCACACTGGTTTACGAGTTCGCTCCCGCATGGCTCGCAATACGCAAAAACACTAAGAGCCAATAGTAGAGTCTGGCGATGTGCGAGATAACCGCGATAATTAATACTTTTAACAATATATGATGAATAATGACCACCTGTGGGAAAGCTCACAAACCAGTGTGCAGACAACAAACATCCGGTATATGCATTAGGAAATGCACAGCCGTCGTTTGTGCTTTAATTTTAATATATTACCATCTCTGACTTAAGCTTTGAAAAAAACAGACATATATCTTGAGAGACTATGTTCGCGTCCCAATTGCGGGTATGCAAGAATTTGAAATTTTGCAATGCAAGCCAATGTGTTGATCCTTATGGCTGCACCCTGTAGGAGCATAGGCATACTGGAAAGATTTGTTCGGCGCAGTTTCATAGGAGCCCAAAAGATAGGTAGATAAATGTGGCTGAACCCTTTTTCATTCGACAACAGGTTGTGCCACCTACAGAGTGCAGATCTTCTCTATTTTGGTGCCACTTATCCTTAATGGGAAGCAATGGTCCTTGAAGATAGCAATGCTTCTATCGCTTCTCATAACAATGTTCCCAATGGGTCTGAGAGAAAAGGCTCTAGTGCAGGCTGCAGTTCTTTGTTTTTCATCTCTTTTCCTTTGTACAGTTAATTTGGAACAACGTAGGAACACGAAAACAGCACAGACGTGTCACCATCTTTGAGTCTCGCAACACAGTCCTCAACGTCCTGCACGACTTCACCATGAAAAATAAGGTCTATGGCGCTTCGATCCCCGCCATTTCGAATCTCGGGAGATACAGTGAAATACAACTCAAACAAATTTCAAAGCACCTCAAAGAATAGTTTACATCGGTGAAAGTTCATTTCATTAAATGCTTTATGCACAGTGTGGCTTTGCTGGGGAATTTGAGTTTGTTCATCTGAATAGTTTTTTTCAATTCAAGTTTCTTCAAGTGGTATTTCACTGTACGCTTTGTTTCTCCATGAGTGCAAGCAACGTAGAAGCTGCTATAGACCGGAGGTCAGATTTATGAAACAATCTTACGAACGCTGGATCCGAAGATATCCGAAAAAAGCTACAACGGCAGCAATTTCGCCATTCAAGCAGCTGCCAAGGGCAAGTTTGGCACACTAAGCCTAGCAAGGCACTTCTTCGCTGTGTTGCTCCGACTGTCCCTGGCCAAGACCGTCTGCTGAATAGAATGTGCTCGCGCGACCCTTGTCGACCCTTCCCGTATAAATAGTTTAATTTCTGACCTCGATTTTCAGCTCAGAAGTCAGTCTCTTCCTTGTCATTGCCTTGTTTTCAGAGGCAGCGACGGCAAACGCTCTTGTTGAAAAAGGAAACTTTCGTTGATTCTACAGAATGTAGAGAGATTCATTTATTCATTCATTCATTCATTTCTTTATTTTTTGTGCTCATGAAACGCTTGAAGCCTTGATAATGATGCAAAATTAACATATAGCAAAAAAAAGAATAATTCTACAAATTGGCAAGAGAAAACTTGAACGCTAAAAAGATGGTTATAGATTCGTAAGAGAAAACTTGAACGGTGCAAGAAATGGGTTGAAATGTCAATGCAAGAATCATTGAAAGTATTATACAAGGTCTGAATACGTGTCATGGGGCAGGTTCGGAAAAATTCATTAACATAAAATGGAAGAGAAATTCGCAAAAATCTTCTCGGGACATGAATATTTATCGATAAAGTTAGGTCAGGGCAATCATTGACTCCGTGAAGGCATTTGAACAAACATATGAGATCTCTGTTGCGTCGTCTGGCACTCAAAGTAGAACAATTGTATCGCTCTAAGAGTCTTCTATGTTCAAAGTAAACAATGCAACCAACATAGCGGTCGTAAAAAATTCGAAAAAACGTTTCTGGACATTTTCAATCGACTCTTGGTGCGTACGCCCAATAGAATTCCACACAACTGACGAAAACTCTAGCTTAGACCTAATTAATGAAAAGTATAACTGCATAATACAGGCCCACATGAAAAACTCGCGTGTAATTCTGGATATGACACCTAACGTTCGAAAAGACGCGTTGACAATGTTATTGACATATGCATTAAATGACAGAGAAGAGTCTATATAATCTCCAATATCACGAGTGCAATCCACCCTTTGCAATGGGGCATTGCCGAGTTGGTAAGAAAAATGAAAGGCCTTAGCTTCTTAGCAAATGACATAACAACAGTCTTAGTGGGATTAAGTGTCACCCTGTTGAGACTACACCAATCGCTCACTGATTTTACATTGTGGGAACCATGGGGTTCCCTCTATCCCTATCCAGGCCTAGCTTCGAGCAGGCCGTGGGAGCCGTCGTCACCAATGGCGTCGGCCTCCCGGATACAAGGAACCACGAGGCCGAATTCCCCGAAGGGGCCGGCTCTCCCTTGCCCATTCTGGGTGAACGCGCCTTCGGCACACCCTTGAGAGTTATAATGGACGCGACTGCTAGTGGCCTCCCCGGGCGCGTCCATTCTCCGAGGCTACATAAGCTGGCCCCGAAGGTGGGCCAGGGGCTCTCGTCGGCGGAGGCCCTGGCTCTACGGAGCTCGGTTTTTCTTTGTGGGCCTCCGACTTCCCGTGAATCTGTCTAATGCGGCAGCGCGGGAAACCGACCGGGTGATACTGCAATTGAGCCAGCACCCAGACTTCTCTTGTCTAAGAGCGAAGCGTGCTGGCATTGTCAGCAATAAACACGTCTTTATCCGGACCCATGGAACCTTTGTGTTTCTAAGTGGTAACCCCCCCCCCTCCCCCAAAGGGCAAATCCCACATTTGGCGCCCAACGTGGGGCCACCACACGGACATTTCAACGCTGCTCCCGATAAGCCTGCCACGAAGCGTAGGCTGCAGAGTTCGACCGCACCTGGGCTTCATTTGCAAGCAGCGAGCTAGCGTTTTTCAGCATGTACCGCGCTGGTCGTTTTTTTATTTCCTTGTGTATTTCTAGCGGCATGCTCTTTTCGCTCTAGCGTTTCGTTTTTTTTTTATTTTGTTTTTGAGAGCCGGTAGGCCGGCCATTTTATTTTTTTAGGCCTACCTTAGCCTTGAGAAGGGGGGAGTGTGGGAACCATGGGGTTCCCTCTATCCCTATCCAGGCCTAGCTTCAAGCAGGCCGTGGGAGTCGTCGTCACCAATGGCGTCGGCCTCCCGGATACAAGGAACCACGAGGCCGAATTCCCCGAAGGGGCCGGCTCTCCCTTGCCCATTTTGGGTGAACGCGCCTTCGGCACACCCTTGAGAGTTATAATGGACGCGACTGTTAGTGGCCTCCCCGGGCGCGTCCATTTTCCGAGGCTACATAAGCTGGCCCCGAAGGTGGGCCAGGAGCTCTCGTCGGCGGAGGCCCTGGCTCTACGGAGCTTGGTTTTTCTTTGTGAGCCTCCGACTTCCCGTGAATCTGTCTAATGCGGCAGCGCGGGAAACCGACCGGGTGATACTGGCAATTAGGCAAGCGCCCAGACTTATCATTGTC